ATATATATATAACTATACACCCCAAGGAGGGGTCGCTATGAGTCAGGTCATACTTGACGGCACATAACAACAACAACAACAAATATACCAGAAAATCCATCAAACTAGATCTTAAAAAGCAAGCCTTCAGATTTGCCTTGTAGATGATTATAAATCATCACTTATCTTTCCAGTTTAATGAGCTATAAAAATACACAAATGTCCCTGTGGCTTATCAAAGTTAACAACTTCAGAACCACGTATCTCAGTATTTCTGACTCTCTCTGAAAATTTATTTCCTGTCATGCTGTAGTATCACTATCCTCTATGTTCTTAAAGCTAGGAACATTAAAGACATCTTCTCTCTACTCCCCCTCCACTTCAGCCCTCCCCACACTCACACTTCCCCTTAGTCTTCAGGTCCTACTAGTTATGCTTCTCACCATGCTCCTTGAATCTGTCCCTTCCTTTCCATTCTTAGAAGCACTGCTCTAATTCAAACATTGTTAATCTGTCATGTAGGCCATCATATAGCCTCCCAGCTAGTGTCCTACCTTCCTTCAGTCTCTTACCTTTCTAATCAGTCCTTTATTTTGTTATTTTCTGAAAACACAGACTGTCTTGAAAACAGAAATCAAAAATCCTTAATACTCACTGTCATCAATTTGATTCCACATCATAGTGACCCTATAGGAGAAAGTAGAACAACTCCAGGGGTTTCCAAGGCTATAAATCTTTATGGAAGCAGATTGTCACATCTTTCTCCTACAATAATCCTTGGTAGCTCCCCATTGTCCACATGATAAAATGCACATGTCTTAGTATTTTAGTCAAAACTCTTGCTCTAATTTCACCTCTTTTTCTAACTTTGTCTTCTCATGATCCATATTTCTCCTTGACCCATCTCCAAAACTTGGCATTTGATACTGTAGACAGCCTACGATCATTATTCCCTGTATATTTTCCTATTTTTCCTGTGCTATTCCCTCAGCCTGAAGTACCCTTTCTTTCCCCTTCCTTTCTAGCCTTGTGAAATGCTACTCATGCTTCAGGATTCCACTGAAATGCCAGCTCCTCCATGGAGTTTTACATCAATATAAGTTATTATAGTTTTTACGCACAGATAAGTCAGGCCTGGTTACTTCTCTCAAAGAGACAAATATCTTGAATGTTGATACATTAAAAAATATATTCAAAGTAATGCTGGGTTATGAAAAGCTAAATACAAACTATTTTAAACATATCAGGTAAAATCAATCAATAAGCAAATAACTAAATTAGTAACTGTTATGTGTGTGCATGTTTGTGTAGAGAGAGATTCAGAGACTGATGGAAAGAGAGGGAAGAATTTAAATAGCTGAGCCTAGCATTTAGGCTCATGCCCAGTGAAATTCTTGTTTGGAGCTAGGCAGGATTAGTACTTTAAAAAAATAAAAAAAGATAATACTTGTTCAGTTAATTTTCTTTCATAAAGATGCTTACTTGGGCTTAAACAGGTTTCAGCTTTGAGACTCAGCTATATTTTGTCCAGTTGCAAAAGCCAGCCTGTTGTTCTTCCTCCCTGCTGCAATGTTAACTGCCTGAGTTAGAGAGGCCTTGTTCCCTTGCCAGATCTACCCAGTCACCACCCTCCATAGGTGGGGAATAGCCCCTTCAACTGTAAAATGAAAATGCATAAGGAGTAAAGGAAAGTCCGGATTTGTTCTCCGCTTCAGCACCATCATTTTTGTGTGTGTGTGAGTGTGCTTTGGGTGCAAATTTACAGAGCAAAATTTGTTTTACATTCAACAGTTCACATACATTTCATTTCATGCCCCAATTACCATCCCCAACCCTAATCCACTCTCCTCCCCTCCCTTCCCTGTGACCCCCCACTCCCTGTGCCCTTCTTAACTATGCACTCCTGTCTGTCCAGCTTTCCATCCATATGTATGAATGCTGCCCCTCTGGTGCTCCATGGCCAATTGCTCCAAAGGGTATATCTCCATAGAGTAAGTGGGGTGCATCACCCTGGGTTGGGTGTTCTACGTGTAAGTCTTTCTGTTGTTGGGCTGAGAGCCAATCGTTGGGAGTGAGTCATCTCCAGGCCCAAAGGGCATCCCGGGGTCATAGTCATGGGGGTCACACCAGACTCCATCTGCCAGTAATTCTGATCATTATTGTATTTTTGAATTTTGTCCCACATTTTCCCTCCCACTCTATCCAGGATCTCCGGTTTTGATCCCTCCCAAATGGTTGGCATTGGTAACCTGACACCATCTAGTTCTTCTGGTCTCAAGGTCCATCATATCCTTAGACTATTTCCAAATGCCTTTGATTTTCTTCACTCTTCTTTGCTTCAAACAAGATGAGACCATTAGCTGCATCTTATGTAGCTGCTCGAAAACTTTTAAGACCCCAGTTGCTACTCACCAAAGTAGGTCATAGAACAAGATTTTTAAGTACTATGTTGTGCAGTCAAGGTTGGTGTCCTGTAATACTATGGTCCTGAGTCGACAGGCCCAGTGTCAGCACCATCATTGATGTCAAGTAGCCAACTGCCCTTTCTGCTAGCTCCTAACTGCCAAAAAGTGTGGGAATCAGTGCTTTAGGCTTCTGATCCTGTTGTACCACTAGCTGTGTGGCATTGGTTATATTGCTTTCTATCTCTGTGCTCCTATTAGCTTATCTGTGAAATGGTGAGGGTGGAACTAGATGCTCTTTGAGGTTCTCTGCAGCTTTAATATATTATAACTGTGTTTGGTGTGTTTGAAGGTAACCAGTGATTTTTTTTTTAACCCTGTAGTCACTAGCCCCTATTTCAAAATGAAGAAATAGGTCAAATGGGAGTATTCTCACAAAGTATTTTTCTCTTCACAAAATGTGTAATAGCAAAGTGAAACACCAGGGTATGCAAACAGGTATATATGATTGAGGAATATTCTGGTTCCAGTGTTTACTTCGACTTAACATAATATTTTTTCTCTTACAGTGGGTTTTTCTCACGTCTTATAAAATTGTTGCCTGTAGTAATACAAACAAATATTTTGAAGGTATCTTGTAGAGAATTAAAAAGTTTGTGTAGATTTCAAATGTGCACACTAGTTCAAACAAGTCTGGCAAGAGTATATTTCAAAATACATGAACTCTAATAATAATGGTCATATGTTGTTGTTATGTGCCATCGAGTCGGCCCCAACTCATAGCGACCCCAACTTGGGTTTCTGAGGCTGTATCACTATGGAAGTAGATTGCCCGACCTTCCTTCCGAGGAGTGACTGGTAGGTTTGAACCGTCAGCCTTCTGGTTAGCAGTCAAGTGCCTTAGGCACTACACTACCAGAGTTATAAGTACTTCCTTTATTAAAAAAGAGACTTAAAAGCCTACTGAAGAAGAGAGCCCCATTTTAATTTCCAAGGGACAAAATAATCTTTGGTATATATTTGAGTCCAGAGTTGCTTCTGGCAAGCATAATTGTTACTGTTTAAACAAGTATTTCTTTTCTAGTAATAAGAATTTTTTTTTTTTAATTCTGATGGGTAGTCATAAATATCAACCACCAGCAGTACAGGAATAATTGATATTCAAATTTTCAGACATCATTCTGTAAAGACATAATTTACATTTATTTAGAACCTTTTATCCTAAAGTGTTCTACACATATTTCATGATAATCTGATTGCAAGCTATATATGGGAATCTCCCACTTGAAATAGGGCAGCAACAGAAGTAATTAAAATAAAGGACACAACTCTATAACAAGTAGAGGAAAGAAGGAAGTGTATATTTTCTTTACTTTGTTCCTATGTGCATATGCCTATAGGACTGGAGAGTCCACGTTGACCAAATGCACCAACACAGAAGTGGAATTGAGTCTGCTCTAAAGGAGACCAAGGTAATGTGAATTACTTCAGATGAATTAATATATATTTACTCATCTGTCGTGAACCTATTGTGGGAGAACACAAGAAAATAAAGAAGACACAATCCTTACCTTGGAGGAGGTCAGTAACTGAATGTACCATATTACTTTTCAATATCCCTAATACTTAAATCAACTAAAGAAAGGTAACTTGATATAAAGGGAAGTATTTCATTACTCTTTCCTTTCTGAATCCCAAGGGATGATAGAGCACCAGGCCAGCAATGCCTGGAGCCTACAGCTTTCCAGAATTCCTATACTGACAAGAAACAGGTACTTCTAGAGGAAACCACAAAGAAGCAAAGCTGGAGGTTATGGGTCCCAGGTTAGAGCTATAGGTCTAGGCATATACTTCCAACTGACATCCTTGAATTGTGCTGTAGGAAAGTCATGTTATTGCCTTACCTACTTTGTGATGAATAATCAAAAACAAGCAAGGACAAATTAATTAACTAACACTACCAGGTGCTTTTTTATTTTACATTCTACAAAGTATGACTGAAACATTTCTCATCACAGATATTTTTTGCCATTGAAAATTTCAAACTGCCTACTTTTTCACATGTGATTGAGCATTTATGGGAGGGATTGAAGAAGATTTTTAAATGTATTGTTGAAAAAGGTTTTTGTGAATTCTTTTATGTACTGAAATCCCATTGCATTTTAAGGGATTTTTGGACAAACTCCACAATGAAATCAGTAGAACTCTGGAAAAGATTGGCAGCCGAGAGAAGTATATCAACAATCAGCTTGAGCACTTGATTCAAGAATATTGTGCAGCTCAGGCCCAGCTGAGTGAGGTAATTTATGAATAATCTCCAAGGATTTATTCTAATTAATGACCCTGATCTCTAGATTTGACACAACACCTTATATTTAAGAATCATGAAATGATTTTCAAGTAGCAACACATTCTCTGCCCACTTTAGAAAGCTAGATGAGGTAATAGAACTTGGCAGTCTCCATTTACATATACATCCACTCCTCACTTACCGATCTGGTTAGGTTCCAAAGACCAGGTTGTTATGTGAAAATCAACATTATGTGACAATGGAGGATTACTACATCAGATCACAAAAAGGAGCATGATTATATTGTTGGATAACTGCCAAACCACTGAGAATCATGACCCAGCCAAGATAATAATAGTAACCTTAAGCATCACAGCCAGCATTACTCTTGCCTTACACCTCAGCATTTGTTACTGCCAGATGTACATCATTTAATGTGCAAAATAGTCAGATAATAGATCTATTACTATGGTCTTAAATGCAAATCATTGGATAATGAGATAGTCAATATACGTCAGTGGTAGTTAGTAGAAATGATTTCTCAGAAGTCTTTTTTAAAAGCACAACTTCATTTGATTGCAATAAATGAAGGCATATATTGGTAAACATGGCTTAGGTCAGGCACTGAGTTTCAGGCTACCTGGTTTTGTTTCTAGCTCTGCTGTTAATTTATTCTTTGAAGAGGAGGAAGAAAAGTGTACATTTACATGTGTCAGAAGGAAAAGACTGTCTTTGCCATAATAGCTTACAACTACATGATAAAGAGTAAGAGAACAAGACAGGTTCAGAGAAAAGCAGTTTAATTGAGAAAAAATGTAATCTTTCCAGAGTTTTAGAATTTAAACCCCCCTCCCAAAACATGAAATAAAAAATCAGAATTTGAAAGCAGCAGTTACTTGACCCAACATCAAAAGCTTTCCTTTGAGGGTTAAAGCCCTTATTTCCTGAGATTGAGGCAGGCTGGTAAGAACACTTGCAGACATCAGTTGAAGACATATTCTTTTCTTTCAGCAGACAAATTAGAATAAGAAAGAAAACAGATAGAAATAAATTTGAGATACTTCTGTACTTTCAGAAGGTCTCAGTTAAAGATCCAATGGAATGTAGTCTTTGCTTTTTTATTATTGCTTGAACAATTTCTCTTAGAAAGATCAGCACGAGGCTAGTCCCCATGAGGCGGAGGTCAAAGATGTCCCAAATGTCCAAACTACCATGCCACTCCATCATCTCAGACATTAACCCCTCCTCCTCCTCCCAGTAATTTCCCCAGTCTTAGGGTTCTGAATTTCGCTGTAACGCCTCACAGAACTCACAGACACCCAAGGGTTCGTCTCACGTAGTGGTGGTGGAGGCTGGCAGGCTGGCGAGTCCCAGGTCCGTGAGTAGGTCTGGCGGATCCTCCCAACTCTCGGGGTTAGATGAACCTCGATCAGCAGATCAGACAGCGGCTGCTGTCCCAAATCCAGGGGTGAGATGACGATAAGCCAAGGATCAAAGCTGGAGCAAGAGGCAAGCGAATCTTCCCAGGAGATTCGTAGGTAAAACCCTCCGGGAAGCTAAGGGTGGTGATTTTTTTTATACCCCCCAGCAAGGCAGGACTCAAGATACATTCCACTTGTGTTGTCCCAACAGAATTAACCTAAATCCCATCACAGAGTCGATTGCCAGTCATTGTAGGGAATGACTACTACCAGCTGCCCAGCCAAGTTGATACCTGACCTTAACTACCACACCACCCCAAACAGGCATGGATAATGGGATTTACGAAACACCACAGAATGGAGGACAATGGCTAGAAGGGCCACATCAAGCAATTCACTGCAATTATCTTACTCATTTTATTAATTATTCCCTCTTACATACATCTATTCATGGATATATTTGAAAATGCAGTAAAATTCTCTGACTAAAAATGCCATGTATCTATCAAACATTAACATTAAATAACTGGATTATTAGATTATTTCCCAAGAACATATTCCAGTTGCTTGTACTGTCATAGTACAATCTTTATTAATTGCTGAGCCTGGTGCTCTATTTTGATTGATTTTTAGAATTGGTTTTCTCTGCAGAGTATGCAAATGAGATTGACCAAGAGCCATTTGCCTAAATTGTTTAGGAATGGCCGAGGACAGTTTTTATACACAGTCAGTACATGAAGGTTAAGGTAGTTCATCATTTTATAGTGCTTTAGTTAAGTACATGGTGCCTGCCTGTTAGAGACATAAAATAACTACAATTAAATGTCACTGTCATAAATGTCTTCACAAATAAGAGAAGAAGTTGTCATAAAATCATATGCAGAAATTGCAAACACAAAAAAGTCATATTTCAGTAATATTTTCCTTTTGTTTTGCATCTGTTATTAAACAAAATGTTTTCCCCCCTCAGGCAAGGGAGCGATACCAGCAGGGAAACGGTGGAGTAACTGAACGGACCAGACTCCTGTCTGAGGTACACGCTGTGTGCTCTTGCTCTGCTTCTCACCCTGTCAGTCGGCCTCCGGCTATTTAGAGCCAGGAGATGGCTAAAGACCACTACAGCCATGGGTTGTTTATTTCAATAATTGCTTCTTGTGGCTTTAAAATATTTTTTAAGAGAAAAAAAAGCTAATTTTCTAACAAGTGAAATAATTATTTCTTTATACACATCCTATATCCATCAAATGTTTGAAGTTGCTGTATTACTTATATTCAACATAAAACCTGTTCATAATATTAACAGTTTTCTAGCCTTCCTTCATCTTGATCTTTTACACTGGGCAATCTACTTCTGCAGTGATACCGCCTCGGAAACCTAAGGAGGGGTCACTATGAGTCGGGGCCAACTCGACGGCACATAACAACAACAACAACAATTGTAATTAATACATAGAAGCCACTGAGGGGGAAATGCCTTGCAAAATGGTCAGTAGTCAATTTGGAACTAAAATCCAAAATTCGTTTTGGTTACAACCCAGTAGGATTGTCACAAACTTTATAATAGAATTAAGCTTCTTTTATAGAGATCATGTGAGAAGTAGTTATTTTAAGAAACTAAAATACAATATTAGAAATATTTAGAATCTAATCCTGTGGTGCTTCTAGGCAAATAAAACATTATGTGGAAGTTAAGTGCTCACTTATGTTGGATAAATTAACACTTGAAGGGAGTCCAGGGAACTATTTCGTTCTTTTGGAGTAGGTAGTTATCCCCAGTTGTAAAATTTCAGGTGCCTGAAAAAATTAATTTGCTTTACTTGGATAAGCACTTTTTCCCAGGGAGATTTTACTCACCAGTATGATAAAGCCTACTGAGTTACAGTAATTACGGCTTAATTTTAGATCATATCAAAAGTTGTCATTTTTTAAAAGATTGTAGTTTTCACCTATATTAAATGCTATTTTGGGAACTTTGCTGAGAATAGAGGCTATAGTAATATAATCTCTATGTAGAATATAGATAAGAACCAAGATAACAGCACAGTGTGCTTCTTTGAATTCACAGTTTGCATAAAGTATTAGGATTTTTGTGTATTGCTATATGTTAAAACATTTTTTTTGTTTCCTATAGTGGGAAATGTACTCCCTTCAATAGCTCCACGAGTAGAGTGGTGGACTGTAGGACTTCTTTCTCTAGTCATCGTTAAGTTGCTGGTTTGATTTCAGCTTGAGGGAAGAGCTCATGTTTTAAGGAGCTCTGGTGGTGTAGTGCCTAAGGCATTTGACTGCTAACTAGAAGGTTGGCGGTTCAAACCCACCAGCCACTCCATGGAGGGAAGATAGGGAAATCTACTTTCATAAAGATATCCCACCTTGGAAACCCTATGAATTGGGACTTGATAGCAGGAAGTTTGGTTTACAGTGGGAAAGGTGACATATTCTCTGATAAAAATGTAATATTAAGAAAGATACTTAGTGAATCTTTAGACATCCAGAATTTCTTTAGGATGTTTATACTCTTTTAATTATTAACTGATTATTAGAGAATAAGATGGTAGATGCAGTAAAATAATTGGAAGGCATGAGTGCCTAGTACTAAAATAACAACTCTAATTATTTTTATACTGTCATGTTACAAGCTGGGAAAGCTAACAATAAAGTAATTTAGTGAAGTTTACTGTTATGAGCATTCTCAAAAGATGGAAAGCTTTAGATATCTGCATCCTTTACATCATTATTCAAATTATGTCAAGAATATCCCTAATATATTCATATCCCTTTATATGTGTTTAATATCTCAATTAGTTTTTCTCAATATATCATTTAAAATTTTTGAAAGTTTATTAAGATTCAATGCTTATGAAAACTTTTTTTTCAATGAAAGGTTACAGAAGAATTAGAAAAGGTAAAACAAGAAATGGAAGAAAAAGGCAGCAGTATGACTGATGGTGGTGAGTATACTCATTTGAAGGAGAAAAAATGAGCAAGAGAAGAATACCTGTTTAGAAAAGTCTGTATGACAAAATAGCAGCTCTGGTGGCAAGGTACCTAAGGCATTTGACTGCTAACCAAAAGGCTACCGGTTCAAACCCACCAGCCGCTCCTTGGAAGGAAGGTTGGGCAATCTACTTCTGTTGTGATACCGCCTCAGAAACCCAAGGAGGTGTCACTACGAGTCAGATCTGACTGGATGACAGTGAGTTTGGCTTGGTTTATATAACAAAATAGTATTAATAAATAGGGAATCCGTAGTGATACTGCCTCAGAAACCCAAGGAGGTGTCACTACGAGTCAGATCTGACTGGATGACAGTGAGTTTGGCTTGGTTTATATAACAAAATAGTATTAATAAATAGGGAATCCGTAGTGATACTGCCTCGGAAACCCAAGGAGGGTTCTCTATGAGTTGGATCCAACTCCACCATAGTGAGTTTGGTTTGGTTTGGGTTGGTTTTGTATTTTAATATGAGCTGTTTATTTGAGGTGAGGTACATGGCACCAAAATTATGTCAGATAATCAATATACTATTTTCCTTAGAAATCAACTAAGAACGAGAAGAGTATTATTTTTAACTATTATTTAGATTTTTTTGTTTCAAACTATATTGATTCAGAGATAAAATGGTAAATATTTAAAGATACACTTTATTATGGCAATTTTTAAAAAATAGTGTTTTGTTCTGTTTTCATTAAATGAGCTTCATTTTTTTCCATTTTGTGTACAAAGGGGCACTAAGTGTATGCCCAAATGGCACTAAGGCAGTGACGTCATGACCTCTTTGTGTTTATTCTTCCCCAGTAGACCTGACTGGGTCAAATAGAGAAGAATTAATAACCCGCCAGTAATCATCCTCCATCGTGAGCAAGTTACTTTGACATGGCCTAGTCATGATTGCCTAAGACTGTTATATGCCCTAGGAAGATTTTTTTGAGCTCTAATAGTATTGAGTGATTGTTCATAAGGAGATGTGTAGTTTTTTTTTGACAGCATTCCTTTGAATGAGCCCATTATCTAGGTATCAAAAGTAATTCTCCCTCCCCCTTTTCCTCCTTTGTATCCCCTTTTCCTATAAATATACTTGCTCATAAAACTATACTCAAGACACCCTTAAACACCCTTTAGCAGCTTCTCCTAGAAAAGAAAGTTCAGCCTTCTTACATCAATTCTAGATCATTTCCCATCCTAAAAATCTCATGTGTTTAAAATGCCACAGCAAAACTGTGTCAATGTCAGCAAGTTGTTGGCTGTGTTTTTAACCCTATTTTTACCTTAGTACTAAGTGAGAAATATATCATACAATTCTGGAATACAATTCTGTAAAATTTATCATACAAATGAACATTTTTTATTCTATACTGTTTTCATTCTGCAGCTCCTTTGGTGAAGATTAAACAGAGCCTAACAAAACTGAAGCAAGAAACTGTTCAGATGGACATTAGGATCGGTGCCGTGGAACACACTTTACTCCAATCAAAACTGAAGGAGAAGTCCAACATGACCAGGGACATGCATGCAACAGTCATTCCAGAATCTTCAATAGGCTCTTATTAAAACATAATTGTTTTCCATGCTTCTGATTAGTTGGTTTTTTATATCAGACTATATATCATGTTGTCTAGTTTTCAAAACACAATTATATACTTCTTAAATTATGTTCATCGGGGTTTTATGACATGTACATATACATACTGTATCATGGTGATTATGGATAGCCTCTAAATTGAATACAGTATTTAATAAAGTAATTAAAAATTTTCATTTTCAAAGAAGCTTACTAATCATTATATATGTTAAAGCTGCTCCCTCGTGGCTCATTTTTCTTAATGTTCCTTGCACAAGCCAGTGTATATGGACCCTGCTTTTTGGAGATGCTGCTACTTCTGTCACCACATAGACCTTTGACACAAACTTGACCCCTTGTGGTCCACTGGTGCACTAACCATAAATTCTTGTTCCCAGACAACCCAAGTCACCCTTGCTTCAACTTTCTGGCTACCTAAAATAACCTTGTTTAAAAAAAAAAAAAAACGTATAATGAAAAACTCAGTATTATCATTTACATCCAAAATATATAATTTATCATTACATCCAAAATACATTATTTACAATAGCTAAAATGATTTTATAGGATATATAGCTTCTAAAATCTAGCCATCTAGCCACCTAATTAAGTAAATCAGTATTTCAGTCATGTTTGACTCTACTCACTGAGTGAGGAAAAAGTAAATATGTACCTGTCTCAGTTCTCCCTTTTCCTAAGGTATCAGCTGTACTAAAGAACTGTTTTATAGGCAAGGGAAAGCCAACAAAAGCCTGTGAAGATCATCCTCCCAGTACTGATGATCTTTACTTCCTATCTCACTGGGCAACTTTCTAGACTAGGATTTCTGAATTGGTGAATTAAATAATGTTAGAGTGACTACTACTGAGGGAAACTGGTCAAAGGAGTACAAACTAGGAGATAGCTCACATTTATTTTAAAAAAGAAAAGTAAAAAAAGTGGCAATGTTTTTTTATTAGTATAGATATAGGACAGCAAAAGTAATAAATTCCCTTTATAATATATTTACTGCCAGAGGGGCAGGGAGGTGACATCTTCTGGCCTCCTCTAACTACCCAAGAAGAGGACAGAATCACCATCAGCAGCCCAATGCCTGCTCCTATGAGGGCAGACATGCCGCCACCCTTCAGCCCTCTTACTAACCTTGACACCAACCACTCCTCCCATGGTCCCCACCGCCTCTCTATTGGATTCCATAATTTGCTTTAGTGGCCACACAGAACTCACCGATTATGGGATTTATTAGGGAAGCAACAGGCTACAATTCAAGTTCAGGAAAGTGCTCAGTCTCTCTCAGCTGGCTGTCTCTCAACCAACAGTCTCTCTCAGTAGCATATTTCTCTCACAGCAATGCATGTCTCTCGTGTCTCTCTCTCAGCAGCACATCTCTTTCAGCAGCATGTTTCTCTCAGCTGGCAGT